AAAATTTTATTACCAAAAAATGTTACCAGTTCTTGCCACCGCGATTCTAATTCAGCTATGAAGAATTGTGCAAATTCTGGCATTGCATATTTCACGGGGCAATAATTTGTTACCAGCTTATGAGATGGTGACAAAATTTACCGGATACAAGAGTACACAGAATGCGAAAAGGGTTTCAAAATTAACAGGAACTTTAATTACCGGTTACAAACTTTTTATTACCAGCGCAGAATAGACCTGTAAATCGTCGGCCGAAGAAGTTTGTATGCAGTGTGCAGGGGCTCTTAAATATTTGAATCATGACCAAAGCGAATGTATGAATGCGGCTTGCAAGGCGAATTAATATAAGGTGATAGCAGGAGTACAAAAACAAAAATTTACATTTATTTTGTTATTGCTTTATTGCTCATTATCGACGATTTCGACAGCATCCATATAGCATGTGATCGATAAAGCAGTAGTTGTATCTAACCGGAGCTTCTACCTCCGATTTGTGCTAATCAGACATTGAACAACCGGCCCTAAGAATGTGTGTAGAAATTCAAACAAAATTTTTCATTTTGATATCAGAAGCCGTGCGGCGAAACACATACACAAAATCAGCTGAGCTAGTAACACCACCTCATGGACGAAAGACACAAGATCACGTAAGAACAAGAGAGTGAAAAAAGTAGATTTTTTAGCGGGTTCTACGCCATCTTGTTTCACTGGAAAACGACCGAAAAGTAAACAAAGCAAAAAAAACAACGAAAACCAAAATTAGCCAAAATTATTGTCAGACACTTTAAGCGCACAATTTATGTAAAATGATGCAATAAAATGCTTAAAAATGTGTTGTCATGTTGAATTAACTCTTCTTTACTTAAAATAAAGTGTAAAATAGTGGTGCTTGTGATGTAAACAAACGCTCAGCTGACGAACCCGCTTTTTTCTCAAAACCAGTTACAAATACAACGTCGCGTTCTTTTTGGTTTATGACACCACCTTATATAACTGCCCTTCTCCACAGGATAAAGTTTATATCTTGATACATATGTTAGAATATAAATAGCCAATGGAGACCGCTCATTACTCTTCAAGAGCAATATATAGGCCTGCTCAAACAGGCGCGGTGCGGTACAGCGCGGTATAATCCAGTACGATACGCGGTAACGATATACGCAAATGCACTCAAACAGGCGCGGTGCGGTATAGTAAGAAACATTGTTGCCATGTGACGAGCTCAAATTAACGGCATTCTACGCATTCCTCTTTCTAAATTTATATATTATAAATCCGATTTTCGCAATGGATAGCTCAAGCTCTGAGGACGAATTATTGCTATTAGCAGTAGAGCAGGGCTTTCTAGTTCATTCCAGAGATTTAGTTCTTTTGTTCTTTTTTTAATGAACGAACAAGTTGTTCTTTTTGTTCATTAGTTCTTTTTTTTGTTGTAAGCAACTTTGTTCATTGTCATTGTTGAACAATCTCATGCCTACGAAACAGGTGTACAGAATAAATCAAGGCCGTGTATAACATACATATTTAGGGTATTCACAAGACGTGTTAACCGTCGTGAAATCTTAAGCTTAACATTTTTTTAATGTAAAATAATGATTAAAATGGTTTTAGAGGATTTTTAACTACACCGAAATGTTTTTTAACTGACAAAAAATTATAAATAGCCCACCTAAAACCATTTTAACCGTTGTTTTACATACAAAAATGTTAAGCTTAAGATTTCACGACGGTTAACACGTCTTGTGAATCCCTTAATTATGCATTTATATTTTATAATAAAAAGCAATTTCAGTAAAATTGCATTTTGTTATTTGAGCGAAAGTTAAGATGCATATACATATTTGTATGTATGTATCATTGACCTGCAACATTCTTAAAAGTCCCGAAAAAGTTTGAAAGGTCTCTTAAATATCTCGAAACGTCACTAAAATATTCCAATGTATAATTTTGAATTAAAATTTTTAAATTTAATTAATGTAATTGTATTACAAAACATGTTTTTAATAAATTTAAAGATGAAATTTTTTTACATATTGTTATGTAAAAACGTCAGGTGTGTCAACTTTTCAGGCAATAAAACGGATCTTCTGTCGGTAATAATTTGCCCTGCTACTGAAAAAATCCTCTCGCAAGGTACAGAAGTTGCAACAATACAGAGACGTTTCAAAACATAGGCATATAAGCGAGGATATATCTTTTTCCGCTCACACCACCACTTGAGTGGATCATCTCTTCTATTTAAATATTCCTCGTTTAAATACTTATCAACTTCTCGTGTTGCTGCCACAATGGTATTCATCGAACTTGTTACCAAAAGGAATTCAGAGTCGTACTCGTCCCAAATGCTTCGCCTCGGCTGAAAATTGTTTACGTTCTGTTGAAATGTCTCAACTTCTTCAACCCTGGCACTTTCTGCTGGTTGTATTACTGTTAACTTTTTTTTGAATTGCTCTATTGCGCTTTTGTATGCATACTCATTTTTGAAACCACGCCCTTTAAATCGAGGGTCGAGTATTGTACTTTCTGCATATAAAATATTATTTTCAATTTTAGAAAAACGTGTCATCATCTCTGTTTGTAGCACTTTTAAAACACCCCTAACGTCTTCTGAGTTGGCAACCTTTCCTGCTATGAATTTTTGCAGCATTTTGCAAAATATAGTGACCTGTAGGGATAATTTTTTTTTACTATTAGCATACATACATATGTACATATATTGTCTCTAATGGCCAATTTCAAATGAATATTTAAATGGCACTTAAGTCTAATTGTGGATTGTTGTTTAAATGCCATTTAACTTTCGCTGGGTTTCAGATCAACTTCGTTTAAATATGCTAAACAATTGGCAGCACTGCTGCCTGTTCCTTGAAATTGTTGTTGCATTTGCTTGTTTGTTTACATTTTACGCTGAACAGCTGATTGTTTTTTGGTGGGATTGCTTAAACAACCTACCAATCAATCTTGGTTGTTTGGTACAAACACAGGGTTGCATATCTCATATTTAAATAGCCGATATTGGCCATTTAAGTGCAGATTAAATGTATGATCTGAAAATGAATAGTGGAAGTTAATCAACAATCTCTACTTAAATAGGCCATCTGAAATTGGGCCTAAGTCTTACAACCTTGGAAAGAGTAACGTTCTGCTCAGCGGATAACTCGGTACTCACTTCATAAAATGGCTTCAATACGGGTACTATTTCTTCTATTATAGCCCACTCCTGGTGAGTCATACAAAGGTCAGGCTTAAGACGTGACAGAACTACATTTAAGGCATCTTTAACCTTTAATAGACGATCAAACATCTCATATGTTGAGTTCCATCGCGTTTGCACATCAATTTTTAATTTTAATTCAGGCATATTTAAATGTTTTTGTGTTTCCTTTAGTTTTTGTAACCCATTAGCGCTTCGATGAAAAAACTCAGCAATCGCTTTTGATTTTATTTTAATACTGTCTAGTTGTTGCAATCCTTTTTGAACTATTAAATTAAGTGTGTGTGCGAAACATGGGACTGAACGCCATAGTCCTATCTTTATTGCTCCAATAATATTTGCTGCATTATCTGACACAACTGCTGTAATTTTATTAGAAATTTCCCACTCATCCATTATTTTTCTCAGTGTTGCACACAGGTTGTCACTGGTATGACGCTCCGCACTTTCGATACAAGCTATAAGGTGAGATTTTAATATACCTTTTTCAGGTTCTACGAAATGTGCGGTTACTGCAATATAACTTTGATTGGCCCTCGATGTCCATGCATCTGTGCTCAAGCACACAGCACTTGCCAAACGTATCTCTTCGTGTAGTTTCGCCTTTAGTTCATTATAAACGTTTGGCAAAAGCGAGTTTGACAAACTTTTGCGCGTAGGAAGCTTGTATCCTGGGCAATGAGTGATCATTTCAATTAGATTTTTAAACTCGGAATCTTCTACAATGCTAAGCGCATGATTGCCTTTTCCTACCATTTTAAGAACCTGACGGTCAATTAGCTCTACTTTTCGAGTTGGAGGTGGTCGTCGGATAAAATTACTAATTATTTGTTGGCCCGCAATAGATACTAATCCTGTAGTTGATGTTGGCTGCTGTGTTTCCAACGACGATATCTCTTGCCGAACGACGGCTAAGGTGACTGTTGGGTGCTTCACCTTCAAATGCCGAGCAAGATTGCTTTGCGACCCACCTGCTATGCTTAATGTAGCCTTACAATACACGCATTTCCCACTCTTGCCGCCTTCACCTACAATAAAATGGTTCCATAGCTCGGAACGCTTTCTTTTTTCAGCCATAAGAAAAATTTTGTAGGAACAATAAAATGTTGAGTATTGGTGAGAAATTTTCAAGATAACAGTAGTTTGAAAGCGAAAACAAGTGTTGCCGTAAGTTTATTTTACGGCTAATAAATTAAATGGCAGTGTAGCCAGAAATAACCTTAGCAATGATCATTGCTGGCAGGGGATTTATTTGCTAAATAACAATTGTAGCGCCCTGGTAACACTCTTAACCAAGTCTTTATTCATCGACATTGATGATTCTTGAACAAGAAGAACGAAAAGAGCGACATAGACAAAAAGAACTAGAAGAACGAAGATCAAAGATTTAGTTCACTAGTTCAGTTAAAAGACCCGGTCAATTGAACAAGTTCAGAACGAAACGACCCAACTCTAATTAGCAGCACTTCTCGATGAAGAAAACAGAAGGTATGAATATGCCTATATCGTTGTTTTATCCTGCAAAGTTCTTAATTTATGTATATGTTTTAGAAAAAGATGGGTTCACGAAATAAATTTGAGAAGAGAAGAAGATGGTGAATTTTCCAGCCTGATGCCCCAACTGCGTAACCACGAGGAAAGATTTTATAAATATTTCCGCATGCTCCCTGAATGCTTTGATGAAATACTAAATTTAATAAGGACTGATATTACAAAGCAACACACAAATTGGAGGGAGCCAATATCTGCAGAAGAGCGGTTAATGATAGCCTTAAGGTAATAAGTTTATTTAAAAATAAGTTTACAGGTGATTAAAAAATATGAGTCATTTAATCTTCGAAGTTTGAAAAATAAGCAGCTAGTGAATCCTGTGTGTAACTTTCTGTTGAATTGCTTTCTGTTTGCGGGCAACTTTCTTTTTCGTTTTGCTCTACCAAATGATCAATCTCATGTCGCATTATAATTTTGGCGAATTCATGTTTTACTTCCATTTGCCGCTTTAGGGAAAAAGTTTTTATTGTCTTAGAATAGCCAAGAAATATGTGATCGGTGCCATCTAGATCCGTGCGGCTGCGCTTATTTTTTATATGACCAATTATATCTTCAACAGCAGACTGTGAAGTGCTTCCACGTTTTCGCACAGAAGTTGATGTGGATGGTGTTGAGCTGCAACTCGGTTCTTCATCTAATATTTCTTCTTCGGTCGGAATTTCATGAATATTGCTCACTGTTGAAGCAAAAGAAAGAAATGGCTTAAAATACTGCATATGCGTTGCCCATTGCCAAGTTTTATATCGCTGTGCGCTTTGACCGGTTTTTTTGCTGCAATCCTTAAGTGCTTTGCATAGGAGTCTCTCAAATTTTTCCACTTTTTTTCACAGTATCAACTGAAAGTAAAAACATGTTTATTTTCAGATTTTTATCGACTAAGGACAGCTTTTCTACAATTGGACACAGTTTCAGAGTCGGATTCACTACCGTTAGCGCAATCGTGGAAGAAGTTTGCGAAGCAATTTGGTTACGTATGCAGCCCATTTACATGCCTCAGCCAACAGAAGCCATATGGAAAAATTCAGCAGAGCAATTTTACGAAGCATGGCAGTTCCCAAATTGCACAGGAAGTATCGATGGGAAGCATGTTACAATAAAGTGCCCAAAAAATACTGGTTCGCAACACTTCTGCTACCTAAAACAATTTTCGGTGGTTCATTTAGCTATTGTTGGAGCTGACTATAAGTTTTTATGTGTCGACATAGGAGGTTATGGCAAAAATAGCGATGGAGGCATTTTTGAAAACTCCAGCATGGGAAAAAGTTTGAAACCGGAAATTTTTGCATTCCGGAAAGTAAACCTCTACCTGAAGAAACTGAACCGACTACGTTCGTTTTAGTTGGGGATGAAGCGTTTGCTTTAAAGACCTATCTCATGAAACCTTTTCCAAGATGAAACATCTACAACACAAGATTTTTTTTATTGCGCACAAAAATAATAGGTAATGATTTATACTAGAGATGGGCACGGGCCTAAATTTTCAGGCCCGGCCCGGCACGAGTGTAAAATCAACTTTCAAAAACACGCACAAGCCCGCAAGTTAAGAATTTTAGTGGGGCCCGGCCCGGCCCGGCACGACTTTTATTGTATGTATACATATGTACATAATTTTAATTTTGTGTTTATGTCCATATGTATATTTACTTAAGCGAATCAATATTTTACATCAAAGATTTTTATAATATATTTTCTGTGAAGTAGAAAAAGTGGAAGGTATTTTATGTACAGATATGTATGTAAACAAAACTACTAAGTATCATATATTTTCTATCGGTTTCCAAATATTTCTTTTTTTGCTTTTCTCTTATCAAAGAGTTTTAAATATGTACTATTTTTTTTTTGTATAAAACCAAAAGCTCGTCTAAATTTTTAGTATTAGCAACGGGCTTTTTCGTGCCTTTTCGTGCTTTTATGAAATTTTACTGAACGCCCAGGCCCGCACGAGTTCGTGCTGACAGCAAATATTCCAGCCCGTACCCGTCTCTATTTTATACACAACACGTTAAATTACTGACTTATATTCTTCGTTCAGTTCATCACCAAATTTCATCTTTTTTTGTATATTTTTATATTCAGGATGTTTTAAATCGTATGAAATTGGATAGCATTTTACCAGCTCAATTAAACGCTCCATTTTGAACGTTTTGCGAAAGAATTTGAAATTCCAGTAAATTTATCGCTCATATTTCTGAGCCACATTGCCAGATTAGATTTTTTTAACAAACGAAAAAGTTCAACTTTATTTTATTTATTTTGTGAGAAGTAAAACCAAAGAATATCACATTTATGCCAAATGTATTACGAGCACTTTTAAACTCATGTTTTTTATAATGAAAAAGGTAGAATTTATAATCTATAGCACTTTTGTAGATAAAATATGTGGTAGAACTCTAGCTCTAAATTATATCTTATATCTTCTTATACCACGCGGTGAACGCTGCATGCTGCGGTAGAATTCTGTACCACACTTCCAATACCGCGTCTGTTTGAGTGCTCCCATATACCGCCATGGTATTTGATACCGCATATCGTACGGGATTATACCGCACCGTGCCGCATCGCGCCTGTTTGACCAGGCCTTTAATCAGAGCTTATATCTTGCCATCTATTGCCGGCAATTTGGTAGTTTGAGAGCTACATGTTCATTTGCATGAAAACTTCGTGGCGGCAACATTATTGATATTTTAATATAAAAGCAGATAATGAACTGTTTTCGGTTAAAATATTTGTTATTACGTAATTGGATGTAAAATAGCCTATTTTCTAAATTTTTTAAGTGATTAAATCCGGCAAAAACACGTTTTAGAAGCTATCTCACAGATGCCTATATCAAGATATAAAAAGCCCACACAAATATTGCCACTGATATAATTTATATCTAGCGACCAAAATGACAGCTGGACAGCAATAAATTTTATCCTATGGAGACGGCCAGTAAATTCGCCTTGGCGGCTTGCTTTTCCCTTTCAGACACGTCAAGTCTTGCTTTCAAGTCTGTTCGTTCGTTAGTGATGGCGGGGGGAAGAGAGGGGAGGAGTACAGATACCTACGTACCGTCAATTCGTTTCAAGTTTTCTTGTTCTCTTTTGATCTTTTCGTTGCTTCCCATTTAAAGATCCGAGGACTTGAATTCAATAAAACTTGACGCGTGTGGAAGCAAAGAGAAAACACAAAAGAGAATGCGATAAAAATTGCTTTCAAGACTTGACGTGTTTGAAAGGGGACTTAGCTGTCAATTGTCGGTGTCGATTTCCAAACCAATTTCCTGCAGGCCGTCTTTGTTTATTATTTTTTATAACTAGATAGGTCGGGCAGCATAATGATTATTTTTTCTACTTGTTTTCTATTTATGTAAATTATTTATTTCTTACAGCTTGGTTTGCATATTGTTTAAAAGGATGTCGATTTACATAATTTGCTTAACAACAAGTGGAGGTCTACCAGTGTTTACTCGCAAAAAAGGGGACTGCGATAATGTAAGTTAAAATAATGATCCTTTTTTGCATTTATTGGTAAATTGATCTTTTCAGTTGCCCTTTTCTACTGTGGCTTCACTAAATGGTTTTCATATGTTCTTCAAATCACTGGGTATAACCCTGCAAGTAACATATTCTGAGGATTGGACTTATGTTTGGCGAGATTTCCACAATGCTGTCACGTTGATAGTTTGTGCCCGTTCAATGTCTGAAGCGGTCCTGCAGTCACTAGCCGACGTAGTGTTTGGTGCAATTGCACTATTTGTTAATTATAAGGAGCTTGTTGATTTAACTTTGTTGGATCGGATGAAGAAGGAGGCAAGAAATTATGTGCCATTAGTAGATGCGGCATTAGAAGCGTGCACAACGCGCATATTAGGATTTACCGACTGTATACTATCAACGGAAAATCAACAATTGGCGCAGCGACTAAACGATTTTAGTGACCTTTGCGGTTCGCTTTTCTGCTGCCTTGTCGTTGGAAATAACGTAGCAGTGGGTACAGAAGGCTGGTGGGATTTGGATCCAATAGATCGTGAATTACTTTTATTATTACTAAATTCGTCGAGTACTATACAGAATGATGTCCCTGTGTATTTACCAAAACGAGATTCAACGGTGAGCAATTTTTGATTGATGATGGATTAATATAGTGTGTAATTTTCTATTTCTAATCAAAAAAGTTGGCATATCGTTTCGTAAGTATTCCTTTAGCGCCAAGTAGTATCATTTGTGTTATATGTGGAGCAGGTCCGAGTTTTCGCGATTTGCGGACTATGTCACAGGATGTGTTTGGCGAAAGTCAATTGCAGAACGTGGAGCGATGTATGCCACGCAGTTTACCAGAGCAATTAGATATCGATCAGTGTGTTCTGTCTATTATAGTTGCTAATACAAACGCAAAAAAATGTGTTTTTTCTCGTAATTTAAACCAAAATTCAGGAGGAAAAAGAGTATTAGGGGGCGGCCTTTTGCGTGTAGATTTAATAAAAAAGATCTTTGATCAAACTCTGCAATATAACAAAGTACTAAATGAAGACTGTAAAATTGTACAACTGCGAACGCGACATATGGAGCCACTGGATCAGTATTGGTGTTTGGATTACCATAAATGTTATGCTCATTATGATCAGCATGGAAATACTATTTTCATCCTCTTTATATCATCTATACCAACACCTGCAATGAGGTATTAGTTTTTATAACGAATTTCCACGTGTACTCAATACTCGCACGTAAGGGTATTCCACAATAGAGAAAGTCTGCCTATGCAGAACTGTCACAGTTACTTCAATGTTTAAAGTAGAAAAAATAAATATTAAAAAAAGGTCTTCGTTGGATTCTTGTTGACAACTATCGGCGTTGTTTACAACTAGGTCGGTTTCTGTCCGGACTCGACCCCAATATTCCCAATGAGTTTCCGTTATGTGGAGATTCCCCGCACAACACCAACCACCTGTTCGCATGCCAGCAATCCCACTCAACTAAAACCCCTCTCCCTTTGGTTTGGCCCTATTGAAATTGCCCGTTTTCAGGGCCTACCGTAAGTTGAGCTTCGCGACAATGATTGAAGGATGAACCAAAATACGCAGGGTTAAGTAGTGCCGCAACAATAACAACAACAACAACATCAACAACAACAACTAAATATCCCACGTTCCCACCAGGGTTGTTGCGAATATTTTTCCTAAATAAAAGTCCTTTCCGCATAATGAACAAACCCCCTGTCCAAATTAAACAAATTTGGTATCATATGAAAGAGGACTGAAATACCTGTTAATAGCCGGCATGCGGAAAGACCCCTCACGACTCGAAACATCTCTTCGCATGCCCGGAAAACCCCACGACCCTAACGGCTACGTTCCTGTGGACCGACCCAATTGAGGCTGCATGCTTCTTGGGGCTGCCGTTAGTGGAGCTCGACGACAACGACTGAGATATCAGCCGATCTGGGCGGGGTTGTTGTAGCCGCTATAACAACAACAACAACGACCTCTATTTATATTTTTTTTATAATTTAATACTAAAGAAATGCATATACCTGACACAAGATTTGTTTTACGGTAAATAATTAACATTTTTTATTGAAATATTTTTCAATATACGGCTTTCTTCGCTTAGACATTTCGGTGTTAAAGCTATTTAAATCCTCTTTCATTTGATACCAAACTTGTTTAATTTGGATAATCGGTTTGTTTATTATCCGGAAAGAACTTTTATTTCGGAATAATATTCGCAACAACCCTGGGCTCGAAACGCAACAAACGATATCGTACTACTCGTCACGTAAAAACACATTTTTCGGATGATGACATACGTAAACATACTCTTTGTCCCATTCAGCTTATACTGCCTGACGTATCACGTCATTTTCTTTCGTATCGTTTTCGATCCGTGAACGGATGTTACGATTCGAGCCCTGGTTCCCACCACGACAGTCGGGTCTACGTACCCGGAACGACCCAGACTTATATCTGGCCAAGGACTGCCATTCCAGCAACACACCCCAAAAACTTTCGGGAATCTGTACGCTGTTACAATAATAACAACAACACACAATATTCACCACTCCCCGGTAGTCGGAACTTGATCCTTGCAAGCTGTACACTTTTTAGTTGTCGGAGTTTGTAGCAAAACAACCATTTTAAATGGAATATTTCTGGTTACGCAGTGTAATGAATAGGTCTATAAAGAAAGAGGGTGGGGTTTAGTACCGCTCACAACTATTTCGGGCTATTCCGTCCAAATGGGTGGCCCGATCCAAAAAAAAATTTCACACACTTGTAGTCAAGGGTCGACGCAATATTTTAACACTCACTTTTGTAAATTTTGGTTACTAATTTATTTACAAATTGGGTTTGAAATATGCCCTTTTTTGTAAAATTCGGAAATTAGCGTACATTTATCACTCCTATTCTGCTTAAATTAGCCACTTTACCAATATATTTTTGTATTCCCCTTCACTTTACACTTTACTTGATTTGTTATAACTTGCTTTACGACTTTAATATTAACCAATTCATCACAATTCATTAAATAAAAACACCTTCAAAATCACGCGTCTGACTTTAGTTGCATATGCAAATTAAATGGCGGAGTTCAGCTGTCAAACTCCAAAATATGCAAAAGAATGAGAGACAAAAGAAGATAGGATATAACCCAGAAGCATTAAAAATATACAAAGGTGTTCTCTGCAAAAGGTGTTCAGCTCCTTTTCTTCGCAAAACAGAAAGGAGAATTCTACTGCCTGAGGGTTATAATCCCTAAGTGCG